AAATAGCTCAGAAAATACCTCCTTTCTGTGCTCCAAATATCACAAACTCTTGCTTTAGAAACCCTAGAAATGTATATTGGTATTTATACAAATACCAAAACCCAATAAGAACAAAAAACCAAACATGGACCTGACCCGCTACGCGGTCGACCGTCACGATCGACCGCGACCAACGATAGAACCTGGAAAAACTCCTACATGGTCTGGCGGTCGACCGCGACAAACGACAGAGCCCAAAAATACATTACAGGGTCTGGCGGTCGACCGCGGCGGCCGATCGTGCCAAATCCAGACTCATACATGAGCCTGTGCACGTTCGCGGTCGACCGGCCTTGCGCCGCGGTCGATCGCACAGCTCCAAAACAGATCCCTGTATCCCAAAAACCTGTTCTTCTTCAAAATTCTTCGCGATTTCTTCAATTGCTACCAAAGTAAAGTATTCTGCTTTAGAAATAAAAGAGTAGATGTAATGCAAATAATGGCATTCATGTTTGTTAATAAATAAACAAAAAAGAAGCATTAACTATATAAATACGAAAATGTCTGAAAAAGTATGATTCGATTAGTCTCCCTTCTCCCTTCCTCAATTTCTAGGGTTTCGTCACAATCAATGGCAGATCGAGCAATAGCAACATCAACGACAAAGCCAATATGGATGAAGCAAGCAGTGGGGGCCAAGATCAAAAGCGAGGCCGAAAAACCTTAGAAAAAGCATGCGTTTATATAATTCAATGGTGTTAACATGACTAACATAATCAATTAATGAATGCTTCTAATATTATTAACATACAGTACCTACAAAAATATATATTAATTAGTGACATAATCTTCTTTAAACAAAAACTCAAAGAATCATGGTTATAGAGTACGCACTGTAATTTTGCCTTGTATATGTACGTTTTGAGAGTTAGTTAACAATAAAACTAAAATTAAATTAAATGACTTAATGGTGATCCGTGCAAAGCACATATTTATATATAATAGTGAAATGACAATCTTTAAAAAATAGACAAATGACAAATAAACTATAATTTAATGTAAGAATAAGGAAATGAAATCATACCTCAAAGTAAACAGAGAAATAGAGTGCAAACCCAAGATGTACTGGCTATGAGGATGGGCATAAGCAAATTTCTAAGTCTTCATATAGGCAGAATACTTTTTTCCCAAACTTCTTTTTTTGTAAGTATTCCATGATTTGCTTTGCTGAATGTATTAAGTTAAAGATCTCTACATCCACGAAGTTGCTTCCAAGCTCATTTGAGGTATGTATGATTTTAAGAATCCCTCTATGATAAAACCAAAACTAAGCCAAACCAAGAGGTTAACCTTCATATCATGCCAATTATTTTCTCAACACATTTACATTTACAATGATTACTGCGAGAAAAGTTTAACAAAACATGGTGCAAAGCACAATACATCCTTTTATAATTGCCTTTATACTCAAACAAAATTATTATATCTTTGTCCTTTCTTCGTCTTCTCCTGCTCAGTAGGCGGCATAGCTAGCCACATATTCTTGAGACAATGTACCATAATCGGTACATTTCGCTCCTCAATGATTATATAATATAAAAGTATGTAACACAAAGTATCTAAGAAGTGCAGATCAATATTAATTACCTAAAAAACTAAATAATTACATAATAGTAACCCACCTGACAACCATTACTACTTATAATCAAAACAATTAAGGAGGAATAATAGAGGGGTGTGTGGGGGGGGGCATGAATACTGAATGGTGTTACAATGTATGATACTTCTCGTGACTCACGGACTCTTAAGGGTTGAAATTCTCTTAAGGAGAAGCAAGCAGTCTTATAGAAATAGCAATAACCAAAAACATCATTGAGTTCATGAATGTTTTGTTCATGCACCTCAACCCTTAAAGGGTCCAAGACACCAAAGTCTATCAACTGGGATGCTCAAGCACTTTAATCCTTAAGGATCCACAACAAACAATTGGTATATCAAAGATAAAGGAAAAAAGAAGAAAACAATCAAATCATAATTACTGAGATTGATACAAGAAAACCATGTAGAACATAAATATTGGAACACAAATAACAGTGTTTTTTCTTATCAAGCTCAATAGCAAATAATGAGAAAGAGACTTTCATGCTACAGGTTGTTGGCAAAAACTACTTCATGATACAGATGAAGCTAATGCTACTAACATATAGAGAGAATGCTACACAGTGCTTTATGGACAGTGACTCCCTTAACTAATCCACGATAAAGAATAGCCCTTAATCCAACAACATTGCATCTGACACATTATCAAGGATTGTTTTGCTAAATTTGTTTCCATAAGAAAAAGATTCAAGGGTCATTTTGGTTGTTGTTTGGATAAATCCAGGCCTGAAATAAAGAAAAAAGGATTTTTTTTATAATGATATGCATTATCATTGCACATAAACTATGATAAAGATGTCCGTATCATTTATTATTGCCATCTTAAATAACCATTTCACTTGGACTCATAAGTTTCCCTGACAATTAATCTCACAGAATTACAAACATTAGTACATTACCAAGTGGGTTACTACAAATGACATTCAATAACTATTCTAGAAAATTTTATAGAAGAAATAATTTAGGGATTTTAATGTATGTTGTCTTTCTCTTCAATAGCGTGTTCATTTGGTCGTGGGTGGATACGCTTTAGATTATGAAGAACTGATGTTATAATGTATGATACTTCTCATGACTTTGTGAAATAAACGTTTAGTTAAAGATAAGACTACGTCATGATATCAACTTTTATATAGCTACATATAAATGAACTAATAGAAGGTGCATTTTTGTATTGGTTTTTATCTAAATTTCTTTATTCAGTATTCTTGTTTTTATAGTTAAATGAATTGGATGTAATGAGGCTCATTCAAGCAATTCATTAAAGGAACATGGTACAAAAATAGAGTTCTTCGTGATGATCCATAAAGTTGATGTTGATGCAAGCTCAAAAATTAGATAGCTGGAAAATTTATGCATAAATGTCAAAAGTTTATAATAGTTCTACGATTAAAAAAATAATGTAATGAATGATCAAATTAACAATAAATATTTATTGAAGTTCTGTAAACACATCAAAAACAAAAGTCTGGCGGCCATGAACAAACTTTAAATGATAATGAATAGTGCTTTACATTACAACTATTGATGCAGGCCTAGTTTAGATGAAGTGAAATTGCTCAACCAACTATTGATGCAGGTCTAGTTTAGATGAAGTGAAGTTGCTCAACCAATTCTAAGTCATAAATCCCAAAATACCACACCTAATAAATTATAAATTTAATTCTAATCCATTTGATTTAAATGGCTTGTATAGAAGTTAAAGGCCATAAAACGCTGTTTACTTTTATCGAAAACCACTTTCTTTGGTAGATTATGCGATGCAATCAAAATTTAGAGTTCACTATCCTATTTACAGTAATAAAAAAGAACAAAAGAAATTCTCATGATTACAGTGTGGTTTTTGAGCTCCAACCTGGAAATATAATTAACAATCTAATTTCTACTCAAACACCGCTTATACAGTTATACCTAGAATACCTTAATAACTAAACACAAATGAAATGATATAATAGAGCATAATGAAAAATGCTAATGTTAAATGTTTTTTTCTTTTAAACATTTGCGCTCATGAAAATCATTAAATAAAAAATATTTTAAGTGATATGGTTAAATTAATTAGTAAAGTAATGCCAATACATTCAACAATGTAGGATAAGTTTGCCCTGTTTTAAAATACAATCTCAATTTCAAGTGAAAGAACATTCAATCTGAACATGATGGAACAAATTAGAAAAAGTAAGCATTTGATTATTCACTTCAACAACAAAGCAAGTTTGACAAAATAAAATGTAAAAATCAATAGAAAAAACAGCTAACCACACTTGAATAAGTGCCAAAGAAAGAGGACCACAATCAAATGGCGGTTGACATGGGAAAACTACCAAAAAGAAACAAATAACCCGAGCAGATCCCAATTTCAGAAAAAACGAATTTGTAAAATTCTAGGGATTCGTAACAAAATAAGAAACAAAGGATAAACCTTGTTAAATTTCTCCAATTCGCTGGTTGAGGAAGAGGAATTAGGAGGCGCGACAACGAGGTTAGAGAATTGGGATCTACTCGGGTTTGAATCGATGATGAAGACGTGGGATCTGCTAGGGTTTGAGTCAATAATAGCCAAAGTATGATGCTAATGTGATTGAGGTCAGGATTGTTGAAGAGGGAAGAAGATGATATGGGAATTTGTTGAAGAGGGAAGAAGATGAAATGGGGAAAGGGGAAACCACAACGGAGCTTGAGTTCTCAAGGCAGAACGCGATGTCTGAAGTTGAAGAAGACAAAGCGGAGATTTAAAGAAAATGGGGAAAGGGAAAACCGCACCGGAGATGGGGGGAACGTGGGAGAACGTGGGTTGGTTATTCATTTAATTTTTTCATTGTTTATAATCTTAAGTTACTGTTCATATTAGCTGTTTTGTTGTTCTCCTTTAGTAATAAAGAAGTAGATTACATAACGTGAGGTCACACGGGGTCACACGTCATCGACGAATACAAATTTTTATCGACGACTAAAAAAATACGTCCAAGTGCACATTTGCTGGACTTTTAATACCAATTATACCACAATGTCATCGGAGAAACTATTAATACCAAACCTGTTAGGAGGGTTATAGAAACACTAATTTTGTAATTTAATTTCCGTGCAAAATAGTCTGAAATAATTGTCCTTTAAATCTTGCGGATTTAGGAGTATGTATGAAATAAGAGGAATTCGGATTGGTTGGAGGAGAATTATAATTCGTTAATGGTGCCTGTTGAAAGTTCATGATACATTTTAGAAAATTTAAAGTTTTAACTAAAATTGAAATGGGTGAAAATTTTGGATATTAAAGTGAAAATAAAGAAAAAAAGGACATGGAAAAATGGGGAAAAAGTTTCTATCAATATATTAACACGCTATTATTTCTGTCTTCGCCTTCATTTAACGCGGTCTCCTCAGTGACTTTTTATCGAACACTTTCCCTTCTCCTAAAACCCTCTCTCATAAAAAGCGCGGGAAAAAAAGGAAGGAGCAGCCATGGCGCCTCTGGTTCCAAGCTCTCAGCCATGGGTCGAGAAATAGTTACCTCCACTCTCTCTCTCCCTCTCTCTCTCTCTCTAACTCGCTCTCTAAGATTCGTTTCCTAAACCCTAACCCTCGTTGTCCTCCTCTTCCCTTTTCTGTAGCCGACCGAAGCAGGTGAAGGATGTGGCGTCGCAGGAGGAGGTCGTCCGCGTTCTCACCAACACGCTCGAGACTGCCAATGTATGCGATTGTATCTTTTTGGTTTGATTCGATACATTTTTACCAAATTTCGAGTTTTTTTTACACTATTTTCTCAAAAAAATTTATGCAGTGCCCTCACATGTTGTTCTATGGTCCGCCGGGAACAGGAAAGACCACCACAGCCCTCGCCATCGCCCATCAACTGTTCGGGTAATTTAAAAAGCCCTAATTTTTAAGCACTAGGTTTTCCCCTCTCCAGCGGTCTATTTATGATGCCCTAATTGGATGTGAGTGTAAATTCGTGTTAAAATCCAACCTTTTATTCTGCCACCAAAATACCTTGCTAAATCTGAATTTTACTCGTGAATTCAGGGCTTAGTGCAAGACAGCGTCAGTAGGGTGTCTAAACTAATAATATAAATAACTCAACACGATGTAAAATGAAAACTATCACTAAAGAACAATAGAAAACTATGAATACTTAAAAATTGTAAAGGAACAATAAAATAACCTATACACATGAAATGACTGTATTTGTAAATATAAAATATAATTCGAATAGACCCCAGGCAGTGAGATCTGAAGCATGATCTGCAGTTCCTTACGAGCGGTAAACTTCTCTTTTTCTTTACTTCGACACAGAAACTTCTACAGACGGAAAGTTATTTTCTACAATGTAGGATCTGCACCTAGCATCTTCCGTCTAGCACGTGATTAATTTATAATCATTTTGTTGCATAAATTTCACTTGGATTGAAGTTAATAGATTCAGAGCTACTGGGCATTTGCTAGGAGGTAATTTGAACATCAGTGTAGAAGTAGAGATTCAAGTTGGAGGTGTTGGCACGAGCAAACAGAGACTTCTGCAGACTTGTATTGAATTGTGAGAAAGCATTTGGCATGGTTGTCGGAAACTAGTACGGGATTTTGGTTAAAAGTATTTTAGTAATTATTCTCTTCATCCTAAAAAAAAAATTCTGTTCAACTATGGTAGGGAAAATTCCACATGATATTATGGGTTTAATCACCAACATAGCATTGCTAGTTTGTATACAGATGCTAAATCTGTCATTTCAGATTGAAAGATTAGGCTTTTCTTGGAAATAATAAATTTGATGTTAGATGATGATATAATTCACTCAATTAGTTTAAATTGGATATGACAATCGAAGGTATATAATAGTACCATGTGAATTTAGAAATTAGTTTTTTAGCATTACTTCAAAACTGTTTCCTGAGGAAAGGATATCCTCGAAAACTTTCATGCCAGATGATCGTATAATTCCTGCAGCCACAGGTTTAACTTTAGCCCCTAGTAGATATGGATGAATGATTGAACAAAAGGTCAAATGTATATAATGCCACATTTATTAAAGTCTAGGCTTTCAGCGTCACTGTTGAACTGGTTTCTCGGGGAGAAATCCTCAAAATTGGAGTTAAGAGTTTGATGTAGATGATGATATGATTACGTCGTCACTTATCACAAGTCTAGCCTTAATTATATATAACAAATATTTGATCATTTTAGAAGTTATATAATGCTCTGTTCATTTAAAACTTAAGCATATCACTCAATTACTTGTTTGTCGGGAAAATATCCTCAAGCTATGGTCATATTGATGTTTCACATTTCAAAAGATGTTGCACCAATTCACTAATCAGCTGTTGTATAGTCTGATAATTGGTTGGCTTGGGTCAAAGACTATTGAATAATTGGTGACACATGACTTTAAATGTATTTGCTAATTTAGGAGGCAGACGTTCTAGGTGAAATAGGTTTGTATAGCTTCACCAGCATTTAAAACCTGTTAACACCGAAATTTAGTAGTGATATGAATAACATCCAAAATTTAGGCCAACCTAGTCACTCCAGTTAATACAGTGAATGGCCTCCAGTGACTTTTATATACTATGTTAAGACCATCTCCAACCGGCCTCTATATCTCCAAAATCTCCAAATTTGGAGAGTGGAACCTCTCCAACCACTCTCCAAATTTGGAGATCTCCAAATTTAACCCTCCAAATTTGGAGGGTGAGGAAAAAAAATGGAGGGTCTCTTCATAACACTATTCATGGTTTATTAATTACAATTTTGCCATTTTTAACTATTTGATTTCTTAAAAATTACCACTTTACCATCCTTCTTAGTAATTTAAATTAGATGTTTAATTTAAAATAAATATAGTTAAAAAATTATTAATCTAATATTTGAAATCATTATATATTTGGAAAGGGCTCATTGAGATCTTTAAAATGAAACTAAGATTAATTTATTTTAGTATTATTATAAAATTATTAATTTTTAAATTAAATAAATAAGTATCAGACATGAAATTTTAAATACGGGGATCTATTTAATATGTTGTATTGCAGTATTAATATTGGGTTCATTTTAAAGCTCTCATCGATACCTTTATAATGTTATAAATTTTTTTTCCAAATAAATTATTAACAATAAAATTATTAACATAAACTATATCCAACATTATTTAATTTATATGGATTTTTTGATAAAAAAATAAAAAGAAAAACATTTGGAGAGTGTGGGTTGGAGCAACCCTCCAAATTGGAATATTCCTAGAATATTCCAATTTGGAGGGTGAAATTTGGAGGGTATGGTTGGAGATGCCCTAAGTTCTCAATATCAAGAAAATCTTGTTATTCTGTGTGAAGTTACTTAAATTTTTGTTAACATGCTTTCCTTGTAATTTATCGCTTCTCTGTTTTGAGGCTGTTATTGCTAAAGGAAGAGCTGCATGCTATTTCAACTGTGACTTTCATTCTTATGACTGTGCCTATCACATTGTCCAATGAAGTAAGAGTTTCTAACGCAAGTGATGATCGAGGCATCAATGTTGTGCGGACTAAGATTAAGGATTTTGCCGCTGTTGCAGTTGGTACTGGGACTCGTCCAGGGTACATCCCTGATTTAAATTGAATTTAACAGGCCAACTTCCTAATACTGTAATCATTTTTTTTATCACTTTGCATATTTGTGTGTGTTACATAGATATCCTTGCCCGCCGTACAAAATCATAATATTAGATGAGGCTGATTCGATGACTGAAGATGCTCAGGTGAGTGCAATTACTTAGCCAAACCTTTGCACAGTATTATGTGTACATGCATGCGTATACACTCATGCAAACTACACATGACATAGTCTAAATCTTGGTGCTATACATTTCTCTGCTGAACAGAATGCCTTGAGACGAACTATGGAAACTTACTCTAAAGTCACAAGATTCTTCTTCATTTGCAATTACATTAGCAGGTAATTCTCTCTTTCTGTTCATTACTGCAGACTTCAAACAGATCACATCTCTATACTGTTCAAATTTCAACAAATAATATTGACCTTTTTATCACATAGGATCATAGAGCCACTTGCCTCCAGATGTGCAAAGTTTCGCTTCAAGTCTCTTTCTGAAGAAATTATGTACAACCGCATTTTGCACATTTGTAAAGAAGAGGGCCTCAATCTTGACTCAGAGGTTTGGTTATACATACTCAATAGATCAATAGAGCCAGCTTTCATTAGCATCATATTAAATTTTAAACTTTGTTTGTTTGTGCATTAACCCAGGCTTTATCCACATTGAGCTCCATTTCTGAGGGAGATCTTCGTCGTGCTATAACATACCTGCAGGTGCTAATCTCTAGAACAACAATTATCTTCTAAGGTCAAGAAGTTTGGTGTCATGTACTCTTATGCCCACTCCTCGCTTCACTGCAACCTTTTCTCCTTTCATTTTTCAAAGAGCATTCTGCATGTGTGCAGTCTCTCATAAGATGTTTAAGTAGTTAATCTCAGAGGTGCATGAATAACTGTGAAATGGTTTCCTTCCATGTTTTCAGAGTGCTGCTCGCTTGTTCGGGTCCTCCATTTCAGCCAAGGACCTAATTAGTGTTTCTGGGGTACGTGTTTGACATCTATGCTCTTGGAACTTCTTTATGTTTTGTTTTTAGACGTTCTTTGAGCATGCTGTTATTAAATATTGTTTTAAAGATGTACCGACAAAATCTTCCAACTAAAATAGGAAAGGGAAGATAAAATAGGGAAAAGGAAGGTAGACAAGGAGAGACAAAATAAATATATTCTTTGGGAGTTTAGTGAAGGGTATGGAAGAAAACTTATTTCATCATGTTTGGGAGCTCAAATAAAGGAAAGGGAAGGAAAAAGAAGGGTTTTATAATCCAATCCCAGTCATTGACCAAAATGATAGAGGACCAAGCATCTTTTATGATCAATTCTCCTCCCCTTCCCTCATCTACACCCTTTTTTTTTGTTTTTGTTTTTTTTTGTGGGGGGGTGGGTGGAAAAAATGGCTACATTTTTATGTAAATATGGTTCTTGCTGTATTATTTTTATTATATTTCCTTCCAGACGTCCTATTCCTGTGTAAGATTACATGTTGGCAACTCTATTAAACTTATGTTGGACTTTGTTCTACAAACTAGATAAAGGAGATTGTCATGTACTAAGCACTTATGAAGTTAATGCATGTTGGTTTTTAGTACCCACATAATTAAATTTGTAGCTAATCGGGTTAGGATAATCCATTTTTGATCATTTTGTTCTTGTGAATAGGATTGCGTCTAGTCGTAAAATCCAATGCAATCCATTTTGAGATGGAAAATGCTCATGAAACCATTATTCTATGGCCTTGTCCTATTGGTTGGTGAAGAATAAGAAACGCAACAAAGCATCCCATCAATAGTTGCCGCATACTAGCCAATAACAGAGCAGGATGCTTGAGATTTGGTCCGTAGGTCAATGTTCTGAGTACACTATTATTCCCAGATCGATCCAGATTCTGAATACAGGTAGAGGGGATAACTAACATTGTACTGTGTTGATCTCTTTAGGCTTAGTTTGCAAGTGGAACAACCGGGGAAAAAACTTGAGTTGGAGAACCTTATGGTAGGTGGTAATTTTCTTGTATAGTTGTATGGTTCGGGTGGTAATCTGCATCAGTGAGGGGAATATTTAGCTCTCTCAAGCACACAAGTAATTGGAGATAGCATTTTGCTGATATCAAGTCAGGTGTATGGCGTACATAAGCGTTGACTTTTCAGATGCTATGGTTGTTCAATTAGCACCTTGCTGAATCTCCCCACCATTTCCTTCCTTTCCACTTTGTCCAATATGAGTTCACCTGCTATTAGTATCTTTATAGGAGAATTTCGAAAGAGATACTTTGTACACATTAGCAGCGCTTGGGATGGATTTAGACACCAAGTATTCCCTATGTTACTTGATTTGGTGGTTTCTACTTTGTGGTAAATCAGATTGAAATAAAGAAGCTAACTGCTCCTGGACACACTGAAAAGAGATTGCCAAACACTATCATATGAACTTGTAGTAAAATCAATGAAATCTTAATGAATTATGCATGTGATTGTAGTGAAATCCAATATGCGTGTTGATGTATACTGACATGGATGTTATGGAGATTTGCCGCATTAATAGTAAGCATAATAGCAAAGAATTTTTCAACAACAAATAACTCTAAAATCAAAGTAAAGATAACTACAGAGCTAAATTGCATCACATGAAAAAGTAACTGTAATAAAAGAATCATTTATCCACTCTGATTTCACAACAAGTTAGAACTCTATTTACAACTTATCCTTATCTCTAACCCACTATAGGATAACCTCTCCAATTAAAGCAATTTCAGAGTCACCTAATTCATGAATCATGACTAAGCGATAAGGAACTCAAATTTGCAAAAAATTCCATATTCAATTATTAACTACTCATTTATCGAAAATAATTCTTGTTCCTAGTGGCTGCCTTGTTGCACTATTTACTTGCATCGGGTTTGAATCCAGAGGGTGACTCTGAACCACCTGGGTTTTGCGCTGGTGGAATTTTAATGACTACTTGTATAAAGTTAAACTATTGCTAAGATACACTGTCTACATTATAAGCCGATACAATAAGTTGTTTAACTGAAAGTGTATGAGCATGGAGTTGTTGTTTAACTATTGCTAAGATACACCTTGATGCTGGCAGTTTACATGTGTACTTTCAACATAGTTCCATAAATTTCATTTTTTGAGAATATTATCTTTGACTAATTCCTATATTGCTCTTCTCAAAATGCATTTCTGGTACACATTAACTCATCGGTAAGGGGTGTAATTTTTCAAGGTATTCTACGAATTTTATTAAGGTGGTACTCTTTAAGCGAAAACTAACTATAACTATGCTGAAAGCATAAAGTTCATAAACTGATACATTACATATTAACTATAATTCATGTAAAATATCTGCAGTCTAAAGCAGTTACCTGCAACGTAGTTCAGATGCATACATGTATTATTCACACAGTAAAAACAAAGATGGCTAAGAAGTAAGAAGTTATTAAATGTTGTAGAAAACAAGTAGAGAGCAGGGGCTGGGTATGGCTTAGGAATTAGCATGAACTATGTTACTTGGGTACTTCTATCAAGTCGTACACGTACACGCATCCACACCCACCACCTACTTGTACCCGCATCCGCAACAAAACTTCCGTGAACTCCTTGAAGATACATTTGTCCGAACGTGTGCTCAATTCTATAATGCATGCTTTAACTTAAAATACTTGTCCTAGTTAAACAATAGTGATTTCATGTAACTTATTAATTTCAATATATGTATTTAGTCGTATAGTCGTGTCCCCACACTTTACCTATTACAAGTTTGCCGTGTCCCTTACTCACATCGGTACCTATACCTGTACCAGTACCCTTACCCATTTCCATGCAATGTAGAGCATGACTTAGTGAGAAAAGTACCTCGGATTTTTAATAAATAACAAATAGGAAATAGAAATTTGTGAGTTGTGGAAACTGTAAAATAAAGCAAGATAACCTTTTGATGGTTCAATTTTTAAGCAACGATAAATAACATTTGAAGTATAACAAAAAAAAAAGATTACAAAATGTTATCATTATATAAGAAGATAATTGTAGGAGTCAATGACATTAACTTATTCACTAGGATTTGGTTATTCAATACACTAATAAAAATATCACAGAAGAATTACAAATGTTCATCACATGGATCAAGAAGGTATATGTAGATACCAAACATGTTATGTTGTTTGCTAAATATAAACATGTGAATGCAAAATAAGATAAGCATGGAAGCATGGAATTAGTGATTTTTTAAGAAATAAAACAAGAAGTATAAAATATACGAGTCTTTTTTGAATGAGTTCCATTAGCTAAGTACCAAGTATTCACGCAAGCTTCAGAGTAATAATATACAAATTTAAAGAGTGAAAATAACAATCATTATCCATACTAGCATCAGAGCATGTGCAAATTTATATCCAAACAATTCAATGTGTATTTATGGAGTTTAATTATAGTAAAAAGATGCGGGTGCATATTGGACTTGAAAAAAATAATAAAATAATTATAAAATAAGTGTATAACTGTAGATAGAGGTGTAATGTATTAATTTATTTAGAATTTATTTTAGAATATATTTGTTACTTTCTTAAAGTTTGATGATCTAAAATATCACCATTTTGTCCTTCATTTTAATAAGAGAAATGAAATTCATCTTTAGATATTAGATAATAGTTTTATTGAGTACTAGTGGTTATAAATAAAATAATTTATTTTCTGTTTTGTCTATTTTTTTAATTATCAATTGTAATGTCATAGTATATTAATTTTAAAATAAAGAAATAAAAGCTGTCATTAATATGTAAACTTCTATTAACATACTCGAGCGAGCGAGAGAGAGAGGGAGAGAGGGAGAGATCGAGAGAGATCGAGAGAGAGAGAGAGAGAGAGAGAGAGAGAGAGAGAGAGAGAGAGAGAGAGAGAGAGAGAGAGAGAGGAGGGAGGGAGGGGAGCGCATGGGCCCACATCAATAAATGGTAGTGAAAAAATGATTAATTACCCCTAACTTTTGCCCAAATCACCTCCAATTGTTCACCACGTTTAGGGAATAAAAGCTCATTCCTTCACTTTGCACTACCCTTCCATTTTTTTAACAGAGTAGTGCTGATAAGAATCAAGAAAAAAACATAATATAACAATTTAGTAAATCTAGAAAAAGAACGGGATAGAGTTTTACAAGAAAATAATTAAAAATAGCCTTCTGAAGACTTGTGCAAACTTTGCTTGTTGCAAGATCATCTTCTAATTAACATATATGTTCGTTGCGCTAAGACCATGCATTGTCAGTAAATTGGAGGATTTAACTTTATAAACAGATGGTTTTAAATAAGAAGAGTCATGCAAAATAAGTTTATGAAGGATCAAACACAGTTTTTAGCCCACATTAGCATGCTAGAAAGTGGGTCAAACCGTCAAAGTAAGAATTTCAAGTTTTTAAAGTGCGCTAGAGGATTTTTATGACAATGTTTAGATGAAGCATAGTGGCCACTGGCTTGTTTCAACTAAAGTGGTGTCTTTGAGATTGGCCTTTTGAGTGTTTTTCCTGCTTTAATAATGAGTTTTTTTTAATTTAATAGATCCACTAAGTAGTCTGTCATACAGAATATAATCTATGGTGTTAATGATGTCTAAAAGAAGAAGTGTTAGGCCTAATGTTTAGGAAACCCAATATAACTGAAGCCCAAACGGAAGCAAAAAGACTACCAATCGCGTCACTTCTTTCCGCTGTAGGCTGTTACCAACAATCAGTGTAACTAGGTGGTGTGATTTGAAGAAAATGCAGTACCTAACTTGTAACCATGCACAGTAATATCCATGTCCAGCTCCTTAATATTCATACAAGATACTTGATTCATATAAAATTACATAAACCACTTGAATTAGACCACATTCACATATGTTATACTGTATAATCTAGTCTAGCATTCTCAAAATGATATCCTGCAACTATAAATCTCATAAGCCTAAAAATATACCTCTCTAACCAAAATACAGAGACTAACTAAAGAAAATGAACAACAAAATAGCTTTTGATTTAACTGTAAAATATTTTAACGTGGCATTGTCTAAAAAAGTTCTAATAACTAATATCTTAGGTAAACTTGTCTCAAAGTTTCTAAGAGCTAATCTTAAAAGCCTGGATGTATCTCACTTCAATGCTTGTCTTTGCTTGAATGAGCTTAATCTGCATAATCAATAAGTAGGTTTTTTGCTTGTCTTGTATGTTTCCTGAAGCCACTTCCTTTCTATAGTTCTAGTGGCTAGAACATTCAGATTGATTTGAAAATCTTTATTACGCCTTCTCAGTAAGCAAATTGAATTATGTTTCAGAGTCTACCCTTCCTGAAGACTTGGATGTTGGAGCAATGATATTATATCTTGTTATTAATTGATTTATTTATTTATTACAGCTGTTTTTTGTTCAGATACCCTTTGCTAATATTCTAGGTGTGTTCATCAGGTTATTCCTCAAGATGCTGTTCAGGCTCTCTTTGCAGCTTGTAAAAGTGGTCAATTCGACCAAGCAAATAAAGAAGTCAATAATATAATATCAGAAGGATATCCAGTTTCTCAAATGCTCAATCAGGTCCTATCACCCTTCTCTCAGTTTTTCTTTGCTGCATACACCTTAATTTAAATGCTAGCTTGTTGGCTTTCAAGTTAATTCCGTGCTTTGTAGTGCAGTTGTTCGAAGTGGTAGTGAATGCAGATGATATATCAGATGAACAGAAAGCCAGAATTTGCAAGAGATTGGGCGAAGCGGACAAGGTTTGTTGTTAGTCTTACATTATGGCACATTCGATTAGCACTAGTTAAATACAGCTGAATTGAACTATAAAACTTTTAACAAATTATGGTAGTTTTGGTTTGATATTGTTTGGACTCAGAATCAGCTTCTAATTTCTTAGATCTGGTTAAACATTGAAGTCTTGAAATTGTCCTCTGTTGAATTTGACTCTTATCTGAACAAATATGAAAATGTATCAATGCAACTAAACCAGGCACGACTAGTAGTTGAAACTATACAATTGCATCCTTACCTCTGGGAAATGTATTTTGTACAAACATACGCCTAAAGGGCTTTAGTTTATCCTATATTCCATGCATTTTCCCCATGACACGGTTCGTTGTGATGCTTCTCTTATGGTGGTTACCTATGAATCCTCAGTGTCTGGTTGATGGCGCCGATGAATATCTGCAGCTATTGGATGTTGCCAGTAATACGATGAAAGCCCTCTCTAACATGCCAGAAGAGTTGAAATTTGATTAGTTGGTATCAGAACCAGTGGGAATTGGAGCCCATCGTTAGTGCTTGATCTGGTTATGGCTGATGACTAAAATAGGGCCTTGGCTATCTTACTAACTGTGTAACGATCAAACCTGTACTGTTGATTGTTGTTGAAAATATGTCTTCTGCCTACCTATTTATATGAGTAGTTTGGATTAGTAACTGAAGAAATGTTTTATGCATTGCTTTGCTTTATGCTTGTGAATTTGGATCTTATCTTTGTTTTAGTTACAGGCTAAGGCAGCAAGCTTAGACATCAATTAATGTATTTTTAATTTAACTTATATTGTACCTTTTCCTATGCTTTGTTTCTTGGATTGTCCACTAGCAGCATGAGAAAAAGAAGGAAACCTATGGTGACTGTGTTCTTTTGTTTCATGGTGCTGCAAACTAAATTGTGTTAAAACATGTAAATTTCTCTTTCTTTTCAAGGTTCTTCTGTAAGATATTATAAATGTGATTGATACTACATAATCAATGAAACATACGTTAATTAATGATACTACTTAAGTTTCTCATCATTGGTACATTAGCATTATGAGGAGTGAGGATGTTAAAGAGCATTACCAATAAATATCGAACTATTCAGAAGCTAATTGTCAAGCGTATAATGCTTTTCCGAATGATTTCTGAGGAAAATAAAACATGCCCATCTGATTTCCTGATGTGACATTATTGTGATTCTAGCATTTACCTTCTTGCGGGTACCTGTTATTTATGTTTTTCATTACATGTTTTCTTCAGCTTTATCTATTTGAATATTGGACTTATTTACGGCTTGCAACCACAAACAAAAATCGAATGGTTACGGAAATGAATGAGAATTGCATGTTA